TTATATGTTTTTATCTGTAATTTCACTGCATCAAATTTGACTCCTGTAAGACATGAAGCTGATACTGGGTGTAGACCTAGACAGTGGCCCAGACTCCATGTTTCAGCATGATTTATATGATTTCTAGTTGTCATGCAGTATACAGTAATTTATTTTATTATTCCTTTTGTGAAAATGGCTCTAAAAAGAAAGCCAGATGCTTTTATTGCATTTATAAAATAAATTTCATACTAGAGTGCTATTCAGCAATTTGGGAATGTGTGAGGGTCTTCATATGGGCTTTACTGTGTTTCAGATTGTCACTGAGAGAAATCTAAGTGAATCCATTATGACATATAAAATAATATTCTGTCTTAAAGCTCAAAGAAGTAAAGCACTCTCCTATAAAATAAACTACTAAAATACAAAACTAAAGTAAACCTAATGCCTTTTCTCAAAGGTTTAAGCTTAAGGCAACTAGCATAAGCTAGACCTGGAGAACTGGGACTCTTCCCTGCAGTAATAAAATATGGATGTCAAGGCATACATCTAAAAGCCATTTGCCTTTCATACTCTCTGCTACACAGAATAGGGATTTTCTTATCAAACCCTTCATGGAGACTAAAGTAATGTGTACATAGTATTTATGATAAAACTAATAAGATCTCCTTGGCCACAGATTCTTTTTCTACTCATTTTTTAGGAGATAACTTAATATCACAATTAAGTTCTCTTGTTGCTCTATCTCAGATGCAGAGAATCCCTCCCATATTTATTATTGAACTTGATTTGGTAACTATTCAGAAGTAAGAGAAGATAAATTTTCTCTTCACTCATTCAGCTGCATGTTCCCAGTCCAGATGCTTATTTAGAATCATGATTAGCAGTTATGGGGCGCCTGGGTGGCTTAGTCGGTTGAGCGACTTTCGCTTAGGTCATGATCTCGTGGTTCGTGGGTTCGAGCCCCCCGTCGGGCTCTGTGCTGACTGCCAGCTCAGAGCCTGGAGCCTGTTTCAGTCTGTGACTCCTTCTCTCTCTGACCCTCCCCTGCTCACACTGTCTCTCTCTCTCTCCTAGAAATAAATAAAATATTAAAGGAAAAAAATACAAATGCTATAAAAAAAAAGAATCATGATTAGCAGTTGTGATACACAAAACAATCAATTGGTTCCCTGCTTTTTTCAACCCAGGTGTATTACTATATTACCTTGTTTTTCACTTTCAGTCCCAGAAATTATTTGATGGGCCAGTTAAGCAAGCTCAGCTGTTACCATGCTGCACAACTTTTTAAATCAATGCTTCCTTTTGCTTTACTATGTGAATGTATATTAATAGATGATTAATAACAATCAATGATTCCTTCAGATATCTTGGATAATCCACAGAAAACAGAGATGGCTAGAGTAGAATTTAAAAAGTTAAAGAAAGGATACCCTGTCTTCTGCCTAAAAGATAATGCTAAATTCGTGGTAAGGCTCTGTCTGGAGGAGGATTCTGCATAGATCTCTTGTTAAAGCTACTCATGAGGGGCAAAGGGTGGCTCAGTTGGTTAAGCCTCTAACTTTGGCCATGATCTGACAGTTCGTGGGTTCAAGCCTCGCGTCAGGCTCTGTGCTGACAGCTCAGAGCCTGGAGCCTGCTTTGTTTTCTGTGTCTCCCTCTCTCTCTCTCTGCCCCTCCCCTGCTCACACTCTGTCTGTTTCTCTCTTCCAAAAACAATTAAACATTAAAAAAAAAAAATTTAAATCTACTCATGGGCCTGTAAGGAAAATGATCAGGGGAAATATACCAGGTTCTTAATAATTGTGTCCTATTCTAGATTAACTACTAATTCACTACTTTGTAGATATGGCCAAATGGTTTCATAATAAAATATTCTCTGGAGAAGTCAAATACAAAGAAACCTTGCTTTGTTTTTACTCATAATCTATTGGTAAAGATTTTGAATATTTGGCTATAAACACTTAGGAAAGTTTTCAAATGCCTTATCTAACTTGAATTTTTAAAGGCTTTTTTTGTTTGTTTTGCATACATAATATATACACAATCACTATAGAATATTTAGAAATTCAGGAAAATATGGAAGAAGTAGAAATCATCCATAATTTCACCAATTCAATTTATATAATTGGCCCCTACCACAAACAGCATTTTGGTCATATAGATCACTGGTAGATTGAACAAGCAGGATTTATATACCAGAGGCAATGCTATTCTGTTTCCACTTGTTAACTCAAAATGTACCTAGACAAGACCCCCGGCTCCTAGATGAAGACTTCTTCTGATTATTGGTAACTTAAAAAGTCCTGTAATCAGTTTGAGAGCCTTGTCTTAAATAATTAGAATACATAGTCTCACATCATGATCAAAACTCCACCCTTGATTTAAAATTTCATCTTGCCCTCCACCAGTTCAGGTCTGTTGTTGAAGGAGTGTATTATTTCTTTTTTCATGGACTAATTATACTTATCTATAAACTGAAGATAATAATAGTCCCTACTTTAATAATATGCTTATTATGAAGATTAATGTGATATAGTACATAATAAAGGCTTAGAAAATATCTAGCCCATATTACTAACAATGGGAAAATATAAAGAAGTAGAAATCATCCACAATTCCACTGACTCAGTTTATAATTGGTCCCTAGAGGTTGGAGTAAATAACACTGGATAGTGGTGAGCTTTTTTGGGGCAAAGGAAGGTGCATCAGAACAAGGGGGTTGGAGGGTGTGAGTAGGCAAAACATTTCTTGGCCAGGAGAAGGTAATCCACTCTCACTAGTCTAGTCCAGACCAGAGAGCTTCAGATTTGACTAGGCCTCAACTCAAGTAGCTTAACAAAAATATGTAATTCCTTATACTCTTCTGTTTCATTAGAAAATATACCAGTTTAAATCAGTTTTGCTTATTGGGTAGTTTTTAGGTCACTATGAATTTGTGTTACCTCTCTACTGCTCTACTCTATGTTTTCAAGAGTCACTATAAATATCAGTGCATTCTCTAGACCAGATGGACTACACAGGTAGCTACTTTCATTTCTTTTAAAAGAGCCAATTATAGACACTGTTTCTAGGCCCCAGGAAAATATGTATGTGTGTGTGCATATATAGATATAGATATTAATATTACATAAATATATAAACATATATTTTTCTGTTCTGCAGACACAGGCCAATCAAAACACAGACATCCCTTTCCTGCTCATTTATTAGATGCTGAGCTTCAAACTCATCTCTCACTTACAGGTTTCTCAGGTGAGTCAGCCACCAGTCTACCATGTTCCCCATTGAAGCCTTCATCACTAGGCTTGCAATGGAACTTCAATTTCTCCAAAATTTCTATTCATAAAATATTCTTACCCCATCATCCTCCAAACCTTTTATGCCCCACATATAAGACATTAAACAATAGTCTAACATGTTTTTAATGTTTCCCTTTAACACACTGGTGTTGGTAGGTCATGTTGAAACACCCGCTCATCTATATATCTACTCTAACAATACACATAAAGATTGCACATTAAAGATTCAGGATGTGACATGAAACTGCATGGGTGTAAATCCTTATTTTTTCATCTAACTAACTGTTGCTTTTTCTTTTCTTCCCTCAGTTACCTCTCCTGTAAACTGAAGATAATTATGGTTCCTACCTCAACAACATGATTATTGTGAAAATTTAAAAAAGGAAACACTTAGAAAAGTATTTACCCCATATTACTAACATATTATCTTTAGATGTAACAATAATACAATCATTATTATTATTAATTATTATTATAAATGGCCTCTTTACAACTTGTTTGACTTAAGAGGATGCTCACATGTTGTTGAATATTCTTCTATACCTTGTAATTATACAGTATTCAGCTATACAAATGTAGCATCATTTTCAATATTAAACTGGATATATGTATCATTTCTAAAATCTGTCACATCATTGACGATCTTTATCATCTATTTTTCTCCCTTTATAATATATTGATTAAATCAGAATCACTGGATCAAAATATGATTAAGTCATTTAATACATATTGACAACTTACACTGCTAAAAACTAATATCACATCATTACACACATATCATATATATCAAACAATGCATTTTCAAGACTACCTTAAAATCTGGCCAATTATCTACTATCAGGCATTGATTTAAGTATAAGGGCATCCATGGAAGGTAATGAAAAAGAGGCACACTTGGTCTCTTGTCTCCTTATAGAGTATACAAACAGATTTCTAGAAACTTTTTTTAGATCTAAGAAGCAAAAATCTTTAAGTGTTTGATGAAGAGAAACCCAATATATCTTCAGAACCAGAGAGAGCCTGTGCCACAATTACACTGACCATTCTTTTTTAATAGAAAAAGAAAATGAAGTTAAGAATGAGCAGTAGAGGCTGTCTTTCATGGTGTTCATTATGAGATACTTAGATAGAGCTGCTTTAATTATGTAAATGCATCTAGTGGATAAGTGTTAATAAACTTCTATTTAAATAAAATAAATCAAAATTCTATTTCTCCTTAGCATATTATATCTTAATTAAATTCTTGAGCACAGTCAGTAGCTGAGAAGTTATACAGTTGACAAAATCAATCACTAAGGAGTATAAATCTGCTAGATACTTGTCTAACACAAAGCACATAGTAATTAGTCAGTTTTGATAATAGAAGTTTCACATATGTCCTAAGGAGAGGACACTCTGGCTCTCAATTTTAGCATTCTATGTCGGTATTATTATGTAGAGTATGCCAGTTTCATCAAGGTCCCACAAACTCATCAATGCCTGGCTTCAGGTATCTTCTGTCTCAAGTATTTAATAATGGCATCAACTATTTTTCTTAAAGATTTTAATTTAACATATCGTATTTTTGGAAGTCAACTTCCTGTGATGCTCTCTGACTCGGTGTGCTTCTCTTTCTCCTTCTTTCCTTGTCTCTGCCTCTCTCTCTCTACTCTAAGAGGCATGTAACTCCAACAAAACAAAATAAAATATTCACCGCACCAGCAACAGTCATTGACCAACCTTATAAAGTAATGGCAATTTTCCCAATTTCAGGAGCGCAATCTGATTCGTTGTATTTTTCATTTTTTGTATCCTTTTCAAATCATCTGCCTTTCCATAACTCACATCAATGACTTCAGCCTGAAAAAGAAAAGGCAAAGAAAAGTCTTGTAGGAAGAAGTATAGCAAACTGTCCATTTAGAGTGACAAAATCATTCGCAATAATTTGTAATAGTCACAGGAGAACTATTTCCACTCTTACTCTGACCTAATCACCACAAACATGATCTTTCTACTTCTATCAGGGTATATAGTTCTTCTGGTAACTTGACACAAAGGTTTAGAGTCATTTGAACTTTGCCCTCTTCCTTCTAGATAAGTTACAAACCCAATTCATCCCCTGAACAGATGACCAAGTTTGGTATATTGCATATTTATGTTTTTGGAATTTGGATCATATTACAAAATACTACAAGACTAATTTCCTTAAAGCCCAAGAACAATTATACCATTCTTTGACTTGAAAACCATGTAAAGGCTCTCAATTCTTTTCAAAATTAAACAAAGCGATCATGTACAACTGTTCAGGCTGTGCACATATTCAGTTGTGAATGACAAATCCTTGGGTTATGCAAGATACAGCCTGTGCAATCAACCATATGTGCCAATCTAGTATTCAAGCATTTTATTTTTATTTTTTTAATGCTTATTTATTTTTGAGAGATAGAGAAACAGACAGTGAGCAGGGGAGGGGCAGATAGAGAGCGATACACAGAATCTGAAGCAGACTCCAGGCTCTGAGCTGCCAGCACAGAGCCCAACGTGGAGCTCAAACCCACAAACTGTGAGATCATGACCTGAGCTGAAGTGAGGTGCTTAATCAACTGAGTCACTCAGGTGGCCCTCAAGGATTTTAGAACATGATCCCAAACTACACATTCTGTCATATTTCCCACTACCATCCATACAGTTGTCATATTCTGCATCAATATCTCTTATTTTTAAGAGTCTCCTTTCATTAATGTTAATACTGTATGCCTTTCTGGAGATCCTAACGGGAATTCTTTGATGTAGTTGCCCCTTTCCTTCTCCTTGAAAAGTACCACATCGAAGGGTCTATTAAACACATATTCTTATAAGCCAAGATGATTCCTTTCAGGTTTGCTTTCTGTATTTTTTATCATTAAAATAGTAATTGTTATGCTTTCCAATGATAAAATTATATGAAATGCACTGTTTCAAACTATACCATCTATACACTGAGGCATCAAGGAGTTAACATTAAGGCATTAAGGTGGCAAACAATGAGAGAATAAAGATGGAGAATCCAGACCTCTAAATTCCCACCCTTCTCAACTGGAACTAATTAGTTTTACCAGTTTTATGCAAAGGGCCTCCACAGAATACTCATGCGAAGAAACAATTCTATGTTTAGGAGAACATGTGAATACCACCAAGATATCAGCAAATCTGTTAGAGGAAACATTTCTGGCATGGAATATCTCCTTGGCCATTTCATTCATTTGCATCTATCAAAACTTTACTCATACATTAAAGCCCATTTCAAATGCTACCTACCTGATGAACTGTATTTCCCTGTTGGCCAAGTATATGTGCCTTCTCTACTTTGAACCTGACTCTCTTGAGGACCTCACTGGACTCATATATATCTTTATCTATATCTCTATCTATGTCTATAATTTATCTCTATCATCTATATTTTATCTATCTATCTATCTATCTATCTGTCTATCTATGTGTCTAGATTGATCTATACATTTTGTTTTTCCTCAGTGAAGGGTCCATCATCCACCTTTCTCAGCCCTCATCCAGGTGTCCACCATACACTGTTAGCTAACTGTTAGCTACAGTTCATACAATAACTCTGAAAAGTTAAGCTGTAGTTTCAAATGGATTTCTTAAAAAAATCTAGTTGTTAAGAACACTTCTGTCAGAATGGTTTTGGGTTATATTTTTGTTTTGATTAAAATTTGATTAAATCAATGCCTTGTTAATACAATTTTTGAGTTTGTTGATACCATTACAATATAAATAACTGTTTGTTTATGACTTTAAAGGCCTAATTAAATAAATGATCACATAATATTAATAATCACATTGGAAAAATGAGAGAATTCATATTATTCATTTCAAAATTTTAAGCTACCTACTATTTATGTGTGATTTAGTGATACCATATTAAAACAGGCATATCCCTCAATTGGTTATATTAATGAACATGTTTTTCATACTTAGGAGAGTTTGGGGGAAAATTATGCTGGACTGAGAAGGTGTAGGCTAGACTTTGAACTTTTTGTTTGTATACATACCAGAAAGGTGTGACAGTTACAAAAATACCACTTCTGTAAAAGAGATTTTACATCATTGGAAAATAACAATAGCTTGTCTCAATAATGGAAATTTTAATTAAAGAGCTCTTTCATGATCTTTCTTTAAATAGCATATCAATAGAGTCAAGCATTTTAACATTAAGAGGGTTTTTTTTTCTTTTTTCACAAAAATAGTCCTCAACACAGCATCATTTTACCAATTTATTTTGGCTTATGCACTTTGAGCTGATTTATTTTGGCTTATGCATTAAAAATCAATAATTATAGACACCAATGTTCTCATGGTTTGACAGGTGATAATAAAAATGTATCTATTGCCTTCAAAGGATGCCTCTGAATCAGGTCTTTCCTAAAAGACTTTCCTATTTACCTTTAAACAAACTGAAAAATCACAGCTGCAAGAAAGCACATTAAATTTTTCTGAGACACAAATCAATATACAATGATATGATAAAATGTCAAGCCATTTCTTTCCACACATTCTTGTTGCCACAATGAACCTTTTCTTATTGAATGTATTCTGTCACACTAGAAAATCATCCACTCAAACGGTTGGGGTACTATGTTTAATTTATATCCAAATACCAAGGATTTAGTTACATCTGACTAATTTGTTTGGAAAATATCAAATGAACAGGAACCTATGTACTTCTTGAACTATTCATTCGTGTGCACCAATTTTTTCACTGAGGACCTCCCTGACAGATAGGAGGGGATAATTGAGAGATGCAGAATAAAATGAAACTAGTTCCCATTTTCTTTTAAAAATTTTTAACCAGGGAGAGATATAAAAAAGTCTACACATTAATTTTTATTTAAAGTCTATATATTAATTTTTGAATAAGAACAAAGAACTTAAAACAACAGCAACAACTAAAATAAGCAAACAAAAAACAAATATTTTATACTTCATTAAAATATTTAAAGTACTGAAATGACAACAGAGAGTGGTGGGTCACATAGAAGCAGCTAAGAGAAAAAGTAGAACATTTTAATAATAAATACTAATATTAAAATACAATTTTATTTTGTAGTAAAATATTTGATTAGAAGGAATCATAGCAGACGATTAGCAATAGCAAAAAATCAAAACATTAAAAAGTGATACTCTATTACATTTGTGGTTTTATGGTTCTAGGCAAAAAAAAAAAAAAAAAAAGGAGAAAATATCCTGAGCAGAAGCAACAGAAGGGAATAACTAAGAGCAATGAATAGAATTGCTATGTCTTGTAGTCAGCTAAGTAAAATAAACAGAAGAATCATGGAAATTAATTAGATCAGAGAAGAATATCTTGGGCCATCCGCCTGCAGATGGCTGGGGCTCCACACTAAGGAACAATCCAGTGCCATGTTTCTCTTCTAACTTGAGGTAGCAAAAATTATTCATGCTTATGAAATGATGTATGCTTTGAAACTTTTCAGACTTGACATTTTCAACCAAATCAATCACTCCGGATCCTCTCAGTTCTTTTCTAATAGATTCTGAATGTACAGAATGTTTGAAAAGCATTGCTGCTTTGACTAAAACAGTAATTTTCTACTCAGAGTCAGAAATGGTAAACCCAAGCAGTTCTTATACTGACAAAGTACCATAACATCAGAAGCATTATTCACCTAAATACAAGTTTTACTTCAGAAATTTACTATTATATAATCTAGCTTTGAATCCTCTTCAAATTAGTGCTTATATCTATTACATCCTTGTAAAATCAAAATGTCCCTCCATGTTTACCTCTGTCTTTTCTAAAAGGGCTTATTATGTTAATATTTATGAAGACTTCAGAATTCAGAGATTCCTAGAATTTTATTAAAACTTCCTTTTCAAGTTCACTCAATAGCTTTCCATCATGAACCATCCTTTCCATCTTTATGATATTTCCATCATGGACATCTTTATGAAAACCACACTGTACTGAAGCACGAAATGCAATACTGCTTCCTCCCCTCCTGTGGCAGACATCACTAATCAGACATCATCTTCTCAAACTCTGCAAGATGGTCTTCTAGCTGATCAATATCAATTAGGGGTTGGCATAAGTAGGAAACTAAATAAAATATTTAATATTTTAATGTTAAATAATGATTAATGTTACATAATGATTAATCATTTAAATAATATTTAGTTATTTAAAATCTTTAATAACTAGAACACAAGTAGTAATCAGTTAAAATGCACTCCTAACCAATCAGAGGGATATGAGCTCATGTGCTGTACTAGTACATTCCCAACTGAATCCAGCACTAAGCTTGAGACACACACACCATTTTGTGGTCTTTGGTGGGAAAGATCAGATGAAGAGGTGTCTTGTCAATTTTATCACCTTTTTTACATGTAATATTTAACTTGCTGAAAAAATTATCTGCTACAATGATATACTGAATGTAAGGCTTTTTGACAGGATTGCCACATTTTTATGGTGGAAATAACAGAAAAACCAGAGTAGTTAGTTGTTTTGATATACAGTAATTATTTTAAAAATTTGCAAAATGTTTTATAATCTCACATATGATGTACACCCATCTAAAGGATAAGAAAATTAAATGAAAACTATTGTAATACAGAAATTTAACCAAAGTGAAGCACTATTCTGTTAGGATTTTCTTCTTGGGGTACGGATCAGCTAAGGATGGAATTTCAGAAAATTTATGAATGAAGGAAGCTGATGGACCAGTGTCAGTTGCTTGAGAAAGTGGACAGAAGCTCAGTTGGTATTTTGCAACAATTACCCCAGAACGGTTTACATCTGACATAATTTGAGGAAATTTCTTGGAAATAATTTACCTCTCAAT